CGGCCTCAGGAGCCCCGCCCGCGTGCCCGCCGCCCACCCCGCCCCTCCACCGCCTGGCCTTGCACGCTCAGCTCCGTGATCCCAGCCAGCTCCAGCCCCAGCCCCAGCCTCTGGCAGTAACTCCTGCCGTCTTCTAGGTCCTGGCTTAGACGCATTTCCTCTGCAAAGCTCGCCAGGCCCTCCCCGTGCCCTGACATGGAGCCCTACCCAGCAGGGTGTTCCAGGTGGCCATGCAGAAGCTCCCTCCCATCCCCTTCTCCCCCAAACTGTAAAAGGTCCTGGTTAATATGTCCCCAGCATCTAAACCAGTCCTGGGCCCACACAAGGACTCCATAAATATATAATGAATGAATGAATGAATGAATGAATGAATGAATGAATGAATGGGTCAGAGCCAGCCCATCTAGGGTCCAGCCCATCCATGCTGGACCTGTGTACTTTTTACCATATTGCCCACTAACCCTGTTATAAGTAAAATAAGCAGATTTGTGGCATAGAAGAGCCTACGCTATATATGGCAGAGGTGGGGAAACTGAGTCTCAGGATGAAAGCCAAGTCTTAGAGAATATTATGTTCCTTGTTTCTGCAGCAGCAGAATAATTTACAACATGGTGTTCTCCCTATTTCTGTGCTCCGAATGTTAATTTCTAACTTTAGTTCTTATTATTTCACTCCGAGAAAGAACCTCACAAAACAGATTTCGAACGATGTTCCCAGAATTTAACATAAGTGCTTGGGGGGCTCCATGTGCCCACTTCAATCAGAACAGTACCATTTTTATTTTTTATTTAGGTTATTTCTTGGAGTCTATATCACCAAAGGACTGTAGGGGAGAGCAGCTGAAGAGCTGTGAACAATTGTTAGCAGCTAATCATTTCAAAGGGCTATAGCTACCATCCCACTGAAGCACATAGTACAACCTGCCAACATACTGAGCCTTTCTCCTTTCTTTTCATGTGGAGTCTGTTGTTACCCATTGTTTCTCCTTCTCTGATAGCAGGGAGTCTGATGTTTAATGGGTATAGTAAGAAACTCAGAGGTATTTTTTCAGAATTTGTTACATTTATAGAAAAAGTTGCTATGTTACTTCGTAATTGAAGGAGGGGAAGAGTTGAAGGTTTTCTATTTCCCTTTAGATTTGTTTTTTGATTGAGGCTCTAGATTTCTTTTATCCTAAGTAGTCCTCTCCAAATCTGCTCAGGTCCTATTTCCTGGAAACTGTGAATATGTCACCTTACATGGCAAGAGGAACTTTACAGATGTGATCATGTTAAGGAGTTTAAGGTGAAGAAATTATCCTGGAGTATCCATGTGGGCCCAGTGTAATCAAAAGGGTTCTTATAAGTGGGAGGTAACAGGGTCAGAGTCAGAGGAGATGTGTCAATGGAAACAGAGATGGGAGTGATGCTGTATGAGAAATATTCAGCAGAACACTGATGGTTTTGAAGATGGAAGGGGCCATTAGCCAAGGAATGCAGGTGTTCTCCTAAAGGTAGAAAAAAAAGCAAGGGAACATTCTGCCCTAGGGCCTCCAGAAGGAATACAATTCTGCTGAGTCCTTGATTTTAAGCGAGGGAGACACACTTTGGACTTCAGGCCTCCAGAACTGTAAGATAATTAATTTGTGTTATGTTAAGGCTCTAAGTTTGTGGTATTACCAATTACTATGCACAGATGTACAAGTTGAACTGTGGAGAAGACTGATTGGGGAAAATTTGATTCCTTTGAAATGTGGTGTTGAAGGAGAGCTCTCCAGATACCCTGGACCACTGGGAAGACCAACAAGTGAGTCCCAGAGCGAATTAAGCCTGAACCATCACTACAGGCAAAAACCGATGTGTCCTATTTCAGGCACATCATGAGAACGCAGGGTCCTTTGAACAAGACAGTAATGCTGAGAACAATAGAAGGCGGCAGGAAAAGAGGAAGACCAGTGTGAGATGGATTGACTCCACAGAAGAAGCCACAGGCAGGAGTCTGCAGGAACTGAGCAGGGCTACGCACTGACAGGGTACCACTCATTCATAGGGTCCCCGGGAGTCGGAACAGACTCAACAGCATATAACACACACACACACACACACGNTGGATTGACTCCACAGAAGAAGCCACAGGCAGGAGTCTGCAGGAACTGAGTAGGGCTATGCACTGACAGGGTACCACTCATTCACAGGGTCTCCGGGAGTCGGAACAGACTCAACAGCATATAACACACACAAACACACATTTGTGGTGATTTGTTATAGCAGTACTAGGAAACGAACACACCACCACCATCCCAGGGGGAAGAATTCCTGCTATACGTAGACGCACATTAATGGAAAGAAGGGGATAATTTGGAGAGAGGAGACAATTAGGCTAGAGCTAGTATGAAGAGAAGGAACTCCTGCAGTAGGAGTGGGAATGGTAGAGGCTACCCGGATAGATGGATATATTCATAGTCTTTGTTATTCCAAAGAGTATAATTGGCACCACCGGGATATATTTTTGTAGCATCTGCATGCACTGTGCCTTATATTTGTAGAGTCATTTTATTTCCCCTGCTAGCCAGAGGGATTCCATGATGGCCTTCATTTTTATATTCATGTTCTGCCCTGTGGTCCGTATGACTAACACCATCTTGCACTTCTGGGGCACGTCACACTTCCCAAAGCCCTGGGTAGCCAATAAACATTCTGAGCCTCACCACAACTCCCGTGGCATCAGGCAAGATCAGTAGTAGTAGCAGTAGTAACATATTTCATTTCACAAAGACTAGCACTCAGATTTCTCTGACACCCAGGCCCTTCTCTTCTCTCTCTAGTATTCCACCGATTTTTACCTGCAGAGTGAATGTTACGACCACAGAGGAGGAAACTGAGACACTGCCAGCCTCCCAAGC